TGGGCCTTAATGATTGGATTATTAATGGGCCATCCAAGAATAATTAAAATAATTTAATGGGCCTAGGGTAAGTCCCATGTAAGGGGTTGGGCCCAATTTGGAAAATTAGGCCATATGCTGGGCTTTGATTCCTAGTTCACTTTGGGCCTATGGTTTGGGCCTTGGACTTGAATAAAGCCAATCTTAGGGTAATGTAGTAATTATCCAAGTATGTATTTATGGTTATGTCTTGGGACCCAATTATTAATTGGGTGTTATTTTGGTGTTGACAGTTCGGGAATCTGTCATCCAGCAGCTGGGGTTGAGTCTGCGGGACTTCAGCAGTATGAGGTGAGTTACCTTCCAGTATCGGTGGGTCTACGGCCACAATGTCGGCCCACCAGTAGGAGTTGTATGTTAGATGATTGTCTTTGTGATATCATGTAGGTTTGCTACTACCCGATATGTTATATGCTGGCATGATATGTTGTATGTGATAGTAGTAGAGTTCGGTTGTTAGGACCGAAGGGTAGTTCGGACACCCCAGATATGTCTGATAGTATGTTTGTGTTATGATATTTGTGATAGTAGCTGAGTGTGGGCAAGGCCCGTATCTCAGAGATAGTGGAGTGTGGGCGAGGCCCGTACCTCCATGAGTGTGGGTGAGGCCCATATCTCCTAGCTATTTAGTATATGATTGTATATACTTGTATGCTATGGTTTAGTGGCTGAGTGTGGGCGAGGCCCGTATCTCAGAGATAGTGGAGTGTGGGCAAGGCCCGTATCTCCTAGCTAGCGGAGTGTGGGTGAGGCCCGTACCTCCATGAGCATGGGCGAGGCCCGTATCTCCTAGCTGTTAATTATATGATTGTATGGTATGTGGTATGATGGGGGAACTCACTAAGCTTCGTGCTTACGGTTTTCCGTTTTAGTTTCAGGTACTTCGTGTTTAAAGGAAAGGAGCCGGCTTGATCGCAGCGCATCACACTATGGTTTTCCGCACAAGAGATCTTTGGGATTACACTCTGATATTGTTTTATGATAACATGTTTGATTACTTCTACTTTGGTTTTGACATGACATAATATTACAGATGTTTTATTACGTTGTTGGTTTTAAAATGACGTAATTAGAAATGAAATTTTTGGCCTTGAAATTTGGGATGTTACAGTTTCACTTATGAATACTTTAATTCTAAGTTAGCCCTTAGAGTTTTAAAAGTTAAAATTCAACCCTTATACTCTATAATATTATAAGTTAATAATATTTATATATATGTATAAGAGTAAAAGTCAGTCTTACCGTTAGTAGGCCTCATTCACGAAGTTGGTCTATAAGGGGGTATAAGGTTACTGCCTATAAAATGGCAGTTTAATAGGTGTCCACTCTCACCCACCGCTTCCTTGACTAGTGGAGGGTCGTTAGCCGAACGGGTAGGACAAAGACTATAAGTTCTTCCTTCATTAAAAGTATTAATGATAAATACTAAGTAATTAAACACTTATAATTCCCAATCTTAGTTACTTGGGAAAGTGTGAATAAGGTGCTAACCCATGAAATTACACTTGGAACTTTGCTTAAGTCGATTGGTGGAGCGTGTGTGGTTTACCGACACACTAGCTTGATTTAACAAGGTAGGCAAAGGGTTTCTTAAAGTTTAATCATAGGCCGGTGGAGCGTGTGTGGTTTACCGACACATCGGTTGGGTGATAAACATTTAAGAGTACCAAGTAATTTGCATGGTTACTTCACACCTTGTTTTGTGATCCTCGGTATCCCAGTCACAAAATCTGAAGGGCACATTTAAGATTGAAACATGCCATTGAGAAGTTCAATGAATCTCAAAAGATCTAGGAGTTTCAAATCCAATTAAAACTTAATTATATTTCGTTTTTCATGGTGGAAATTGGTAAATCGTCATTTACCTACCTTCAACTATTTTATAACTTGGATTACGGCATCCCTCTTCCAGTTATAAATAGGTTGTTGGGTCCTAGTCTTAATATTTAATATTGGGTGTTATATTAAGGACTTAAATCAACTAAACTTGAATATCTCCCAAAATATGTCTAAGTTCAGACATCTATGATCTTCCTAAATCTCTTGGAACTTCACTTCCTCCACCTCCTCCAATTATTCTCCCTAACCCACAAGATCAAGGTCACTCAAACCCTATTGGCAAGGCAAGGTCTAGGTGTTATCACATCTTGGATATGAAGTCACATATTGACAAGCCAGGAGAGTTGGGTGTCAAAGTCTTGAGAAAGTTGGATGTTCAATCACTTTCTAAGTCACATAGTGAGTTCCTTTGGGACTCCTATGCAACAGACCATGATACGGCCCTTAATAATCTTATCTATTTGATTGGTACTACTGAATCAGCAATGATTTGGAAGGCTAGTAAAGCAAATTTGATTAAAAAATCAACTTCCCAAAACTTTATGGAAAGGAACAACAGTGACACTGGAAATCCAGAAAAAGCATTCTCTTCCCAATGGAAAGGGATTGGCCATAGTCAACTTGGTTGACAAAATGGTAAAAAGAAAGGCTAAGTTTGAGATAGTCCCATGTACTATTACCTAAGGGTCCATATGTTTCTATTGCCAAAGGAAGGGGCCTTGGTTACGAAGCTGTCAAACTTACCTAAGAATGTTAAAGTCAATAAGTTTGACTCTACTTCAGGTAAAGTCCATTGTCTAACTCTGTTAAGCTCCTATTTGGATATTCTTATTGCATAATGTGACTAAGTCACATGGTGATGTTATAAGAATCAAAGAAAAAAAGAGAAAGCTTAAAGGAAGTATATGCTGCTTCAGATTGCGAAGATGGACTTCGATCGCATCAGAATTTTGAAACTGTTACTTAGGAGTTATGACACATTGCTTAGGAATATATAACAACAAGGTTTTCATATGAATTGTAAGGATAAGTTTTTCCGCAAAGTTTTTAAAATAAAAGGAAA